CCACATAGTCCACAAACAGTGACAGAATGTACCACATAGTCCACAAACAGTGACAGAATGTACCACATAGTCCACAAACAGGGACAGAATGTACCACATAGTCCACAAACAGTGACAGAATGTACCACATAGTCCACAAACAGTGACAGAATGTGCCGTAGTGTCATGTTCTAGAAAAAGTAGATTGTATATAAATCATTTTAAAATGAACGTATCGGAGACAATACAATAACAGACCAAATGTTCATTTTAAGTCACACTAGGGAGATATTCCTGTCACTTATGTTCATTCTAAGTAATACTAGGGAGATATTCCTGTCACTTATGTTCATTCTAAGTCACACTAGGGACATATTTCTTTTACTTGGTTATTTGGAGATAAGGGAATACAAATTTAAACAAATAAGTATTTCCAGTTGGTGAACCCGACTACAATTTTAATTATTTGAATTCTCAAATACGAAAATACTCAAATACGAAAAGACTCAAATACGAAAATATTTTTGAATCCTAATGTTATCAATGCAGAAAAACCAAAATCTTCCTTTCTACACACAGCAAATAACATCAGTATACCTGAATCGTATAAATGGCAGTCTGAGATCTTCGCTTCATGTAAGACTTCCTTTGGGAACCTCTATCTGTGTGACCATTTCTAAAATAATTAGTTCACATTAATAATACACCTTTACACTTACATATGAACTCAGCATTATGTTATTTTCATGATTTAAAATACATCAATTAAAAACTAACTAATCACACTGGGAAACTCTTTATCATTTGTATTTGTAATTCTGAGCTTAATTGTTTTAAAATTATTTCTATAACTCTGAAAAAATAATATAATAAGAGTTTTATATGGAATCATAATATAGTATGCATGTTCAGTACCTTGTAATTTGTAAAATATGTTACTTTTATACACTATGTAATATTACATAATGAAACACAGAGTAAAATATGTTACTTTTATACACGATGTAATATTACATAATGAAACACAGAGTAAACTATCTATTTCATTTACAGAGTGAAATACTTGTATATAATTTATGTTCTTACAATCAAGAAATAATACTTATAGAACAATATAGTATTCAAATATATTAAATAATACAATTCATATACAGGACACAAAATAATCCTAGAAAAAATTATAACCACTTGGCCCTAAATGACCATAGTTATCGATGGGCCGTTTAATTTAAACAAACAAACAAACATTTATATAAATTCAATATACAATTCCTTATGCACAGTTCAGTACATAATTTGTATATAAAATGATATGTGATTAACTGAACGCTGCATACCATATCTGTATGAAGTAAATATATCCTCGCCTTTGAAAACAGTGCAGTATGATTTACATAATGACCTAACGCACTAGCTGTGTAGAGTGCCGTGTTATCATAATGAAAGACCATAGACGAATTATAGCCATCCACCATGAAATTAACATATACAGAAGTAATAACAATGCTTATCAGAGGATCTTGTGTGAAGGAAATCATCGGTGATATAAGGTCAAGACATTTAACAGCATTTCTTGGTCCCAGGAACTTGTACTATGACGTGAAGAAAACTGCAGCCCTCCTCTCCATGTACCAACGATTCATCTTGATTGCATCAGGCGACAATAAGCGTCTCTTATCTGCCACTTAACGTGTTTCTGATAACACGAACATCGCATCAAATGATTAGTCCGATATTTCGCTGGATATTGTCTGAAAAATCATCCGGAATAGTTGCTCCTTTTTTCATTTCCTTCACGTAGTTGTTGCTCCGAAGTTAATTGTAATCGGGTTTGGCAGGGAGAATTTGTCTTCTATTAGACTGTTAAGCGTAAAAGCTACATCCAATTACATGCTTATCCGAGCGTTTTTGCCGGGCCCGCTGATACCCAGCACAAAGTAGCTTTCCTTGTCCCGTCATTACACTTCCTTATTAACATTCAGCCCTACTTTGCTCTCCATTGCCATTTGTAAAAACGATTTTGATCGTTTTAATTGATTTGCCTGAGACTGGGTGACGGGCTGGAAAGGTCTCCCTATCTCCTGTCGTATAATTGTCGGCGTGGGCTTCACTAGGCCGATCTGGTCGTTTCGGGTAAAAAGATTAGCACAATCCTTGATGGCGATAAAATAACTGAAAATTAAGTAGATTTCAATTAAGCCAAACTTTGCAATTAACCGATAAACCGTGTCCATAACGCCGACCTTAACATAGTAGATGCATTCTTCATTACCTCGTATGATGTACATGCTAAATTATTTTATTTCAAAGTTAACTTTTATCTTGAGGGAGTTATTCTACCATTTCTGTCCATTTAAGTGTCTCTTTCTCTCTGTCGCTTTTGGTTTTAACTCCTGTCGTGCGTTTTTTGTTCCTGACGAGTGTTGACACTTTGGTAGATAGTGTGCCTGTGTTTTGATGCTGTAATGTAATTGGCCTTGTGTAATGAGGCTGTCGTATATTTGTCCTTGTATATAGAGAATGTGTTATACTTCGTCCTATTTACAACATTGTGGTATATTATGTATTTGTATATTGACGCTGTGGTACACGTATGTGTTATCATTGTATATTACGTTATGATATCATTGTGTATTACAGTGTATGTTGACGTTTTGGCATACTTCGTTCTTTTGTTTTGACGCTGTTGTGTACTTTGAGGAAATTGTTTATATTTTAACCATATTAGTACAGTAAAAACAAGTATCACTCTTATAAATTCTCAATAATACTTTATATTTATATAATTGTGGCAATTGTTTTTTTTTGTAATACATGTTATTCAGGCACTTTAAGGACTGATATTTGATGCCCTTTGTTTATATACCTCTTTGTTTACAAACTGTTTTGTTTTGTTTTTCAGACGTTGGACGGGTTTATATTTGTTGTTGCGCCTGACGGTAAAATTTTGTACATATCCGAGACTGCGTCTGTACACCTGGGACTATCACAGGTGACAATCAATCTTTATTTCCCCCGATATGGAGATAAATTGTACATAAATATATAATGTAAACATTGATTTACAATAACAGTAGACACTATGTAATTAAAATTAATTATTATGAGATTGTCTTGGAAAAATCTTGTAGAGCGTTCTTTTCAGACTCTCGATTTGAGATACATTAATATTTATTGGATACTGTAAGTATAAGTGTCTAAAGTGTTAGAATAAATTGTATATGCTGTCCAAACGTTTGAAATGTATAGAGAATGTACTAACACATCAAGAAAAAGAAAAGAAAAGAAAACATCGCAAAACAATTGTCAATATTTCTTTTGAAGGTGGAGCTGACAGGAAGTAGTGTATTCGAGTATATCCATCCATCAGATCACGATGAAATGACCGCCGTCCTGTCCCTCCACAACCCCTATCACTCACACCTGTTACAAGGTAAATACCGGCAACCACTCACACATGTTACAAGGTAAATACCGGCCAACACTCACACCTGTTACAAGGTAAATACCGGCCACCACTCGCACCTTTTACAAGGTAAATACCGGCCACCACTCAAACCTGCCACAAGGAAAATACCGGCTACCACTCACACCTGTTACAAGGTAAATACCGGCCAACACTCACACCTGTTACAAGGTAAATCCCGGCCACTATTCACACCTGTTACAAGGTAAATACCGGCCACTATTCACACCTGTTACAAGGTAAATACCGGCCACAACTCGCACCTTTTACAAGGTAAATACCGGCCACCACTCACACCTTTTACAAGGTAAATACCGGCCACTATTCACACCTGTTACAAGGTAAATACCGGCTACCACTCACACCTGTTACAAGGTAAATACCGGCCACCACTCACACCTGTTACAAGGTAAATACCGGCCACCACTCACACATGTCACAAGGTAAATACCGGGCACCACTCACACCTGTTACAAGTAAAATACCGGCCACCACTCACACCTTTTACAAGGTAAATACCGGCCACCACTCACACCTGTTACAAGGTAAATACCGGCCACCACTCACACCTGTTACGAGGTAAATACCAGCCACCACTCACACCTGTTACAAGGTAAACACCGGCCACCACTCACACCTGTTACAAAGAAAACACCGGCCACCACTTACACCTGTACCAAGATAAAAACCGGCAACCACTTACACCTGTCAGAAGGTAAATACCGGTCACGACTTACACCTTTTACAAGGTAAATACTGGCCACGACTTACACCTGTTTCAAGGTAAATACCGGTCACGACTTTCACCGCTTACAAATTACTCCACAACCAGCACCACTAAAACCTCCTACAAATTACACTACAACCACCACCACTAAAACCTCCTACAAGTTACACTACAACCACCACCACTGAAACCTCCTACAAGCTACACTACAACCACCACCACTGAAACCTCCTACAAGTTAAACTACAACCACCATTACTAAAACCTCCTACACGTTACACTACAACCACCACCACTGAAACCTCCTACAAATTACACTACAACCACCACCACTGAAACCTCCTACAAGTTACACTACAACCACCACCACTTAAACATCCTACAAGTTACACTACAACCACCACCACTGAAACCTCCTACACGTTACACTACAACCACCACCACTGAAACCTCCTACAAATTACACTACAACCACCACCACTAAAACATCCTACAAGTTACACTACAACCACCACCACTAAAACATCCTACAAGTTACACTACAACCACCACCACTGAAACCTCCTACAAGTTACACTACAACCACCGCCACTACTAAAACATCTTACAAATTACACTACAACCACCACCACTAAAACATCTTACAAATTACACTACAACCACCACCACTAAAACATCTTACAAGTTACTCCACAACCAACACCACTTAAACCTCCTACAAGTTACACTACAACAACATCACTAAAACCTCCTACAAGTTACACTACAATCAACCATCACTGAAACCTTTAACAAGTTAAACTACAACCACCATTACTAAAACCTTCTACAATTACACTACAACCACCACCACTGAAACATACTACATGTTACACTACAACAACATCACAAAACCTCCTACAAATTACTCTACAACCACCATCACTGAAACCTTTAACAAGTTAAACTACAACCAACATCACTGAAACCTCCTACAAGTTACACTACAACCACCATTATTAAAACCTTCTACAATTACACTACAATCGCCATCACTGAAACATCATACAAGTTACTAACATCTAAATTTCGATATATCATTATTTGAATAATAAATAATTATTTATGTATAATGGAAACGGATGCAATATATACCAATGTTTCGTTTGCTGAGAAGAGTGTTAACTTTTATTTCATTCTTCATTTACAGATATTGAAATAGAAAGGGTTTTCTTTATACGCATGAAATGTGTTCTAGCTAAACGGAATTCTGGTCTAACGAATGGAGGTTACAAGGTATGTAAGCTTATTAATACAAACTTATTTTTTAATTTATAACTTAATGACGAATTCACGGACGACAAGAGAATTATCATTCTCAACCAAATTAACATCTGGTTATGTACATCAACCCATGTAAATCACGGACTTCGTACATCCTCCATCCCTTTTTATCTTCTGGCTTTGCACATCGACAATTTAAACTGGGTTTCAGTAAATATAAATTTACGCATGAACAAGAATAATTGATCGGGAACCAGTGATGGTGAATTTTATGCAGTAAATTATATATATATTGTATAAATGTGTGTATTTAACGGTATATTTGAAATGGTCATGCTTATAACAGTGAAAATACATGAAGTTCACATTCATGTTAAACAGTAATTTATAGAACATGTATATTGACTAATTTTGTTGTAGGCCAACACTGTAGTAGATATTTATTATCTAGCTGTGTAATATTTGTGTATATCAATTAGACCCATAATAGCGGCTATCTATTTTATATATTAGTATTTTATTGTGTAAACAGTTACATGTTAAGGACTTTGTTTTAGGTGAAACACTGTAGCGATTATCTCTTTTATATATTAGTAGTTTATTGTGTACACAGTTACATGTTATGTAATTGGTTTTAGGTGATACACTGTAGCGGTTATCTGTTTTATATATTAGTAGTTTATTGTGTACACAGTTACATGTTATGTAATTGGTTTTAGATGATACACTGTAGCGATTATCTGTTTTATATATTAGTATTTTATTGTGTACACAGTAACATGTTAAGGACTTTATTTTAGGTGAAACACTGTAGCGATTATCTCTTTTATATATTAGTAGTTTATTGTGTACACAGTTACATGTTATGTAATTGGTTTTAGATGATACACTGTAGCGATTATCTGTTTTATATATTAGTATTGTATTGTGGCCACAGCTACATGTTATGTAATTGGTTTTAGGTGATACACTGTAGCGGTTATCTGTTTTATATATTAGTATTTTATTGTGTACACAGTTACATGTTAAGGACTTGGTTTTAGGTGATACACTGTAGCGATTATCTGTTTTATATATTAGTATTTTATTGTGTACACAGTTACATGTTAAGTACTTGGTTTTAGGTGATACACTGTAGCGGTTATCTGTTTTATATATTAGTATTTTATTGTGTACACAGTTACATGTTAAGTACTTGGTTTTAGGTGATACACTGTAGCGGTTATCTGTTTTATATATTAGTATTTTATTGTGTACACAGTTACATGTTATGTAATTGGTTTTAGGTGATACACTGTAGCGGTTATCTGTTTTATATATTAGTATTTTATTGTGTACACAGTTACATGTTATGTAATTGGTTTTAGGTGATACACTGTAGCGGTTATCTGTTTTATATATTAGTATTTTATTGTGTACACAGTTACATGTTATGTAATTGGTTTTAGGTGATACACTGTAGCGGTTATCTGTTTTATATATTAGTATTTTATTGTGTACACAGTTACATGTTATGTAATTGGTTTTAGGTGATACACTGTAGCGGTTATCTGTTTTATATATTAGTATTTTATTGTGTACACAGTTACATGTTATGTAATTGGTTTTAGGTGATACACTGTAGCGGTTATCTGTTTTATATATTAGTATTTTATTGTGTACACAGTTACATGTTATGTAATTGGTTTTAGGTGATACACTGTAGCGGTTATCTGTTTTATATATTAGTATTTTATTGTGTACACAGTTACATGTTATGTAATTGGTTTTAGGTGATACACTGTAGCGGTTATCTGTTTTATATATTAGTATTTTATTGTGTACACAGTTACATGTTATGTAATTGGTTTTAGGTGATACACTGTAGCGGTTATCTGTTTTATATATTAGTATTTTATTGTGTACACAGTTACATGTTATGTAATTGGTTTTAGGTGATACACTGTAGCGGTTATCTGTTTTATATATTAGTATTTTATTGTGTACACAGTTACATGTTATGTAATTGGTTTTAGGTGATACACTGTAGCGGTTATCTGTTTTATATATTAGTATTTTATTGTGTACACAGTTACATGTTATGTAATTGGTTTTAGGTGATACACTGTAGCGGTTATCTGTTTTATATATTAGTATTTTATTGTGTACACAGTTACATGTTATGTAATTGGTTTTAGGTGATACACTGTAGCGGTTATCTGTTTTATATATTAGTATTTTATTGTGTACACAGTTACATGTTATGTAATTGGTTTTAGGTGATACACTGTAGCGGTTATCTGTTTTATATATTAGTATTTTATTGTGTACACAGTTACATGTTATGTAATTGGTTTTAGGTGATACACTGTAGCGGTTATCTGTTTTATATATTAGTATTTTATTGTGTACACAGTTACATGTTATGTAATTGGTTTTAGGTGATACACTGTAGCGGTTATCTGTTTTATATATTAGTATTTTATTGTGTACACAGTTACATGTTATGTAATTGGTTTTAGGTGATACACTGTAGCGGTTATCTGTTTTATATATTAGTATTTTATTGTGTACACAGTTACATGTTATGTAATTGGTTTTAGGTGATACACTGTAGCGGTTATCTGTTTTATATATTAGTATTTTATTGTGTACACAGTTACATGTTATGTAATTGGTTTTAGGTGATACACTGTAGCGGTTATCTGTTTTATATATTAGTATTTTATTGTGTACACAGTTACATGTTATGTAATTGGTTTTAGGTGATACACTGTAGCGGTTATCTGTTTTATATATTAGTATTTTATTGTGTACACAGTTACATGTTATGTAATTGGTTTTAGGTGATACACTGTAGCGGTTATCTGTTTTATATATTAGTATTTTATTGTGTACACAGTTACATGTTATGTAATTGGTTTTAGGTGATACACTGTAGCGGTTATCTGTTTTATATATTAGTATTTTATTGTGTACACAGTTACATGTTATGTAATTGGTTTTAGGTGATACACTGTAGCGGTTATCTGTTTTATATATTAGTATTTTATTGTGTACACAGTTACATGTTATGTAATTGGTTTTAGGTGATACACTGTAGCGGTTATCTGTTTTATATATTAGTATTTTATTGTGTACACAGTTACATGTTATGTAATTGGTTTTAGGTGATACACTGTAGCGGTTATCTGTTTTATATATTAGTATTTTATTGTGTACACAGTTACATGTTATGTAATTGGTTTTAGGTGATACACTGTAGCGGTTATCTGTTTTATATATTAGTATTTTATTGTGTACACAGTTACATGTTATGTAATTGGTTTTAGGTGATACACTGTAGCGGTTATCTGTTTTATATATTAGTATTTTATTGTGTACACAGTTACATGTTATGTAATTGGTTTTAGGTGATACACTGTAGCGGTTATCTGTTTTATATATTAGTATTTTATTGTGTACACAGTTACATGTTATGTAATTGGTTTTAGGTGATACACTGTAGCGGTTATCTGTTTTATATATTAGTATTTTATTGTGTACACAGTTACATGTTATGTAATTGGTTTTAGGTGATACACTGTAGCGGTTATCTGTTTTATATATTAGTATTTTATTGTGTACACAGTTACATGTTATGTAATTGGTTTTAGGTGATACACTGTAGCGGTTATCTGTTTTATATATTAGTATTTTATTGTGTACACAGTTACATGTTATGTAATTGGTTTTAGGTGATACACTGTAGCGGTTATCTGTTTTATATATTAGTATTTTATTGTGTACACAGTTACATGTTATGTAATTGGTTTTAGGTGATACACTGTAGCGGTTATCTGTTTTATATATTAGTATTTTATTGTGTACACAGTTACATGTTATGTAATTGGTTTTAGGTGATACACTGTAGCGGTTATCTGTTTTATATATTAGTATTTTATTGTGTACACAGTTACATGTTATGTAATTGGTTTTAGGTGATACACTGTAGCGGTTATCTGTTTTATATATTAGTATTTTATTGTGTACACAGTTACATGTTATGTAATTGGTTTTAGGTGATACACTGTAGCGGTTATCTGTTTTATATATTAGTATTTTATTGTGTACACAGTTACATGTTATGTAATTGGTTTTAGGTGATACACTGTAGCGGTTATCTGTTTTATATATTAGTATTTTATTGTGTACACAGTTACATGTTATGTAATTGGTTTTAGGTGATACACTGTAGCGGTTATCTGTTTTATATATTAGTATTTTATTGTGTACACAGTTACATGTTATGTAATTGGTTTTAGGTGATACACTGTAGCGGTTATCTGTTTTATATATTAGTATTTTATTGTGTACACAGTTACATGTTATGTAATTGGTTTTAGGTGATACACTGTAGCGGTTATCTGTTTTATATATTAGTATTTTATTGTGTACACAGTTACATGTTATGTAATTGGTTTTAGGTGATACACTGTAGCGGTTATCTGTTTTATATATTAGTATTTTATTGTGTACACAGTTACATGTTATGTAATTGGTTTTAGGTGATACACTGTAGCGGTTATCTGTTTTATATATTAGTATTTTATTGTGTACACAGTTACATGTTATGTAATTGGTTTTAGGTGATACACTGTAGCGGTTATCTGTTTTATATATTAGTATTTTATTGTGTACACAGTTACATGTTATGTAATTGGTTTTAGGTGATACACTGTAGCGATTATCTGTTTTATATATTAGTAGTTTATTGTGTACACAGTTACATGTTATGTAATCGGTTTTAGATGATACACTGTAGTGATTATCTGTTTTATATATTAGTATTTTATTGTGTACACAGTTACATGTGATGTAATTGGTTTTAGGTGATACACTGTAGCGATTATCTGTTTCATATATTAGTATTTTATTGTGAACACAGTTACATGTTAAGGACTTTGTTTTAGTGATACACTACAGTGATTATCTGTTTTATATAATAGTAGTTTATTGTGTACACAGTTACATGTTATGTAATTGGTTTTAGGTGATACACTGTAGCGGTTATCTGTTTTATATATTAGTATTGTATTGTGTACACAGTTACATGTTATGTAATTGGTTTTAGGTGATACACAGTAGCGATTATCTGTTTTATATTAGTAGTTTATTGTGTACACAGTTACATGTTATGTAATTGGTTTTAGGTGATACACTGTAGCGGTTATCTGTTTTATATATTAGTATTGTATTGTGTACACAGTTACATGTTAATCACTTGGTTTTAGGTGATACACTGTAGTGATTATCTGTTTATATATTAGTATTTTATTGTGTACACAATTACATGTGATGTAACTGGTTTTAGTTGATACACTGTAGCGATTATCTGTTTCATATATTGGTATTTTATTGTGAACTCAGTTACATGTTAAGGACTTTGTTTTAGGTGATACACTGTAGCGATTATCTGTTTTATATATTAGTATTTTATTGTGTACACAATTACATGTGATGTAATTGGTTTTAGTTGATACACTGTAGCGATTATCTGTTTTATATATTAGTATTTTATTGTGTACACAGTTACATGTTGAGGACTTTGTTTGAGGTGATACACTGTAGCGATTATCTGTTTTATATATTAGTAGTTTATTGTGTACACAGTTACATGTTAAGGACTTGGTTTTAGATGATACACTGTAGCGATCATCTGTTTTATATATTAGTATTTTATTGTGTACACAGTTACATGTTATGTAATTGGTTTTAGTTGATACACTGTAGCGATTATCTGTTTTATATATTAGTATTGTATTGTGTACACAGTTACATGTTAAGGACTTGGTTTTAGGTGATACACTGTAGTTATTATCTTTTTATATATTAGTATTTTATTGTGTACACAGTTACATGTTAATGACTTGGTTTTAGGTGATACACTGTAGTGATTATCTGTTTTATATATTAGTATTGTATTGTGTACACAGTTACATGTTAAGGACTTGGTTTTAGGTGATACACTGTAGTTATTATCTTTTTATATATTAGTATTTTATTGTGTACACAGTTACATGTTAATGACTTGGTTTTAGGTGATACACTGTAGTGATTATCTGTTTTATATATTAGTATTTTATTGTGTACACAGTTACATGTTAATGACTTGGTTTTAGGTGATACACTGTAGTGATTATCTGTTTTATATATTAGTATTGTATTGTGTACACAGTTACATGTTAAGGACTTGGTTTTAGGTGATACACTGTAGTGATTATCTGTTTTATATATTAGTATTGTATTGTGTACACAGTTACATGTTAAGGACTTTGTTTTAGGTGATACACTGTAGCGATTATCTGTTTTATATGTTAGTATTGTATTGTGTACACAATTACATGTTAAGGACTTGGTTTAAGGTGGTACACTGTAGCGATTATCTGTTTTATATATTAGTATTTTATTGTGTACACAGTTACATGTTATGTAATTGGTTTTAGGTGATATACTGTAGCTATTATCTGTTTTATATATTAGTATTTTATTGTGTACACAGTTACATGTTATTTCATTGGTTTTAGGTGATATACTGTAGCGATTACCTGTTTTATATATAAGTATTTTATTGTGTACACAGTTTCATGTTATTTAATTGGTTTTAGGTGATATACTGTAGCGATTACCTGTTTTATATATAAGTATTTTATTGTGTACACAGTTACATGTTATTTAATTGGTTTTAGGTGATATACTGTAGCGATTATCTGTTTTATATATAAGTATTTTATTGTGTACACAGTTACATGTTATGTAATTGGTTTTAGGTGATATACTGTAGCTATTATCTGTTTTATATATTAGTATTTTATTGTGTACACAGTTACATGTTAAGGACTTGGTTTTAGGTGATACACTGTAGCGGTTATATGAAGATTAAACAATACACTATGGACATGGCGCCGTATGACGGGTGTTTCCAGAACATGGGTCTGGTTGCCGTTGGACACTCACTTCCGCCCAGCGCAATAACAGAAATCAAAATGTTTAGCAACATGTTCATGTTCCGAGCCAGCCTCGATCTCAAACTCATTTTTCTTGATGCCAGGTAAGTCATTAAAAAGGTGAAGGTCACGTTTCGTTCAATGATATTTCATTGAGGAAGGGAGATTAGTATAATTATGAAATATAATTGCATTTCTTCAAAGTGATTTCGTCATGTGAAATGTAGCTTACTTTGTTTTTGGTTGCTATGTATAATGTAATGTTTTTTCCTAAGTCTTACTTCTTCTAAACGTCGTGTTATTTTATTAGCCATTCTTCTATTTTACACAAAATTGATAATATTTAACATCGAAATCGATTTGTGATATACATTCATCGGAGACAACAGCGTTTTACTGGGATAACGACACTATTACACACTCTATAACCTCCTCTCGTTGTCCTTGTACGTTTAGAGTTGGCCAGCTGACGGGTTACGAACCACAGGACCTGATAGAGCGCACCCTGTATCACTACATACATGCCTGTGATATTATGCCTATGAGATTTGCTCACACCACCCGTAAGTATAAACTTATTTCCACCAAAAAATGATGTTGCCAGATGTTTTTGTCTTTTTCTGTCGCATCGTCCATTTTTCTAGGCATTGAGTTTAACAATATGCATGAATTCTGATTTGAAAACTTTGTTGTGATAATCATTCGTGTAATTAAGTAACTGTTATATCTATCTAATATCACATATTCATTTACGTCGGTGTATTATTAAAAACATAAGCACAAAAAGTCTGGAATGAAATGCTTGCCCATTAATTATCCTAAAACACTCCACAGCTTTGTTCTATGGAAACAAACTATAACATACAATGCATTTGATTCCAACTTTGACCTATCAGTTGTCACATCAAAAGATGGAGTCAATCTTCGGGAAGAAATATGGAGCATTTCGTGATTGTTAGTGTACTTCCTGTTGTGTTTTGTCGCGTGTCCTGTCCGTGGATCGGATTCCTATCGTTGTAGCGATAATCCACCCCAGTGCCTACCAAATGATTCACGGACTCTGTGCCCTCACTGACCTCCCGTGCTTGACATACCTTTGTACCTGCCTGGGTTACGCCCCCTGTGCACATTGTGTACATACATACCCATCTACTGCAGGACGATTGTAAATATCACCACAAATAGATCGGCCATTTCACATAGCCATCTAAATGTTCGTTAACTATCCGAGCTAATCGTCCACGGACTGCTCCACGACGATTTATCATGCTCGTTGATCCCACAAACGTGTCGGGATCTAGGTGCAACTTTGAGAACTTTATCATCTCACTATAAAGATTGGATTATGCTCAGTTGAGACACAAGCCTGGTACAATGGCACCTGGGCCGATTCTTGGCCCTGAGTGTCGTGGGGGACCAATCTGAGATTGTTCTGGCTAGAGCTGTATGTACCATTAACATATCTGACACAGATTACATTTGAGTACCCCCTTTCAAGTTTGGGACACATCAGCTGCAATTCAATGTACTACTTCCGGTAATGCCGTTTGTATTGTGATGGAAGTCTATTTTTTTGAGTCTTCTAACAGACATGTACATGTGCAAACTCCAATTTATGTTTGATCTGAATTTGATTAATCTTATTAACAATAGAAAGAGTTTTTGCATGTATTTTATGTCACTCCTGCCGATTACATACCAACATATACATACTTGTTCAAATGAAAAAAAATGCGTTTGAATTTTTATCACATAAATATTGTCCAGAGACAGCCATTTGACATATCTACCTCTCTGACATAGAATCCCACGTGATAACCAGCCAATAAGTGCTCAGCTGTTACTTTAGTGAGGGGTGTTGGTGAGTTGTCTGGTCGTTACTCAGTAACAGGTATAATAATCCGGATTACACTGAGTTTACTTGACAAACCACGGGGTCAAGTTCACATCTGTGTCGTGAATACACGACATGATAGGACAGCGGAAGGCAATTTACTGGCATGTTACATAAGGGAGTCGAGGTGTGTGGTACTCTCCGGGATTAGGAGGGCAGGAAGGATCACTCGGGGAGTACACAGGTTACCAACACGTGCTGCCAGCATCAATACCGTCACAGCAAGATGACACCAAGCAATGTATTCCTGATTGTAAAAGTCTAGGCGTGCATGTGCCGACTCCAGTTCAGTTATCTTTAAGTTGCTTTAAACATTGGTTCAGTTAAAGAGATTAGAACTGCATTTGAAAGTTGAAAAATTGGATGATAGAAACAAAATTGCGAAATCAAGACAGGACAATGAGAATGCATACATAGAGTTTTGTGTAGAAAGGTGTGTACATGATCCACGTGTAGAAAGGTGTGTATATAATCCGCGTGTAGAAAGGTGTGTATATAATCCGTGTGTAGAAAGGTGTGTAGAAAGGTGTGTATATAATCCGCGTGTAGAAAGGTGTGTATATAATCTGCGTGTAGAAAGGTGTGTATATAATCCACGTGTAGAAAGGTGTGTATATAATCCGCGTGTAGAAAGGTGTGTAGAAAGGTGTGTATATAATCCGCGTGTAGAAAGTGGTGTATATAATCCGCGTGTAGAAAGGTGTGTACATGATCCACGTGTAGAAAGTCCCCTTACTATTGCTATCACTTTAAATCTCAGACAAAAATTCCAAAAGATGATAAATAAACATGAACTATTACCGATTACAATCTATGTTTAGGCAATGGTGTTAATCACAGGTTTAGGCAATGGTGTTAGTCACAGGTTTAGGAAATGGTGTTAGTCACAGGTTTAGGAAATGGTGCTAGTCACAGATTTAGTCAATGGTGTTAGTCACAGGTTTAGGAAATGGTTTTAGTCACAGGTTTAGGAAATGGTGTTAGTCACAGGTTTGGGAAATGGTGTTAGTCACAGGTTTAGTCCATGGTGCTAGTCACAGGTTTAGTCAATGTTACTCGTCATATGTTTAGGCAATGGTGTTAGTCACAGGTTTAGTCAATGGTGCTAGTCACAGGTTTAGGCAATGGTGTTAGTCACAGGTTTAGTCAATGGTGTTAGTCAGAGGTTTAGGCAATGCTGTAAGTCACAGGTTTAGGTAGTAGTGTTAGTCACAGGTTTAGTCAATGGTGTTAGTCACAGGTTTAGGCAATGCTGTTAGTCACAGGTTTAGTCAATGGTGTTAATCACACGTTCAGGCAATGGTGTTTGTCACAGGTTTATGCAATACTGTAAGTCACAGTTTTATGTAGTGGTGTTAGTCTCATGTTTAGGCAATGGTGTTAGTCACATGTTTAGGCAATGGTGTTAGTCACAGGTTTAGTCAATGGTGTTTGTCACAGGTGTAGGCAATGGTGTTAGTCACAGGTTTAGGCAATGGTGTTAGTCACGGGTATAGACAATGGTGTTAGTCACACGTTCAGGCAATGGTGTTAGTCACAGGTTTATGCAATGCTGTCAGTCACAGTTTTATGTAGTGGTGTTAGTCTCATGTTTAGGCAATGGTGTTAGTCATATGTTTAGGCAATGGTGTAAGTCACAGGTTTAGTCAATGGTGTTTGTCACAGGTTTAGGCAATGGTGTTAGTCACAGGTTTAGTCAATGGTGTTAGTTACAGGTTTAGTCAATGGTGTTAGTCACAGGTTTAGTCAATGGTGTTTGTCACAGGTTTAGGCAATGGTGTTAGTCACAGGTATAGACAATGGTGTTAGTCACAGGTTTAGTCAATGGTGTTAGTCACAGGTTTAGGTAATGGTGTTAGTCACAGGTTTAGGCAATGGTGTTAGTCACAGGTTTAGGCAATGGTGTTAGTCACAGGTATAGACAATGGTGTTAGTCACAGGTTTAGGCAATGGTGTTAGTCACATGTTTAGGCAATGGTGTTAGTCACAGGTTTAGTCAATGGTGTTTGTCACAGGTTTAGGCAATGATGTAAGTCACATGTTTAGGCATTGGTGTTAGTCACAGGTTTTTCCATTCAAACATATTTTATTGACACTGAATGTTATGCATGTACTACGTGACTGTTCAAGGTTTTTTGTTTACCTTTCCTTAGTAGTAGCATACCAGCCTGACTTGCTTATGAGTTTACATGCCACAGTTGATTTTCCATTTTAGCTCCTGTCAAAGACTCAGTAGCATTTTCCTATAATGAAAACTTCAGTTTTAGAACGTTTGTGAACCCAGGGCCTAGATCCGTAATTGAATGGGGAAAGGTGCAAAAACGGCGGGACATTTCTATTTCATAAATACATCTGGGTAATTGCCTGTACAAAATCGAATCAAAAACATAAACTTGTATTAAAATAGTAATGTAATATATAATAATGGTAATAATTAAACATAATTTTGCTCTTTCATATATTTACAGATATATAATTTATAACAGGTAAAACGTCGATCGAAATAAACATTCGGGATAATACTTGATCAGTCACTTAGGAATCAAGAAAATAATGGAAAAGAATAAGAAGCTCATAATGATAATACCACTTATTTTACCGTTTTATATTGTTGGAGCTAATACATAACGTTTGTGTAATTAAGTAGTAAATGAATGTATATGAAGATTAACTAAAATAAATACATACTTACCAAAACATTGTAACGGAATCTATCACAGGATAATGTCAAACTATGTAAATGGCGTGTATGGCTTAAAGCAAGCAAAGTGTGAAGATATTGGCTTTAGTTGCTTTTTAAAGATAGAAAATATCATTTTAAAATCTCAATAGCAATATTAATATATGAGCATTTTGTTACGATATGGTGTCTGTATTTGATTTTCACTACATTACAATGATGTTTTTACGTACTAAAAATGTTCGTCGTTTCTGCAACTTGCATTTGAAAAGCAAAGGCCAAAAAGAAAACAAATACGAGATGACGAACAACACAATATTTATTTATTCAAATAAGTTTTGCAAAGGTACTATCGGTATTTGTATTTCATACAATAAATTAGAAGTTTAATAGTCGTACAGCCTTTCATTCCTTCAAGGTTATGTGATAGATACGCATCAGTGTGAAAGATACAGTAGATGAATTGAAATTAGGTTGATTTTTAAACGTCGATTTTACCGGACTTTTATATCATTATATTTACATATAATCAAACGTTTCTTGATTAACATCAGTTCCTCAGCTGGCGTGTCTTTCATTGTTAACTACACCATATCTACTACATTGTTGTTCCATATCTGCAGTCTGTTATCTTGGCATAATCAATGAGTAGCTATCGGCATGTTTGTTGTGTTTAAACATTCATACCGTATTTTGTGATTGACACGGAGTCGTTGCAGAAGTTGTTGCTATAGAGAGGTTTACCATTCTGTTACAGAAGTTGTTGCTATAGAGAGGTTTACCATTCTGTTACAGAAGTTGTTGCTATAGAGAGGTTTACATGTCATCCGTTTAAATAGTTTCCTTGAGTTGCCTCTTTTACTCTCATTTGTGCCTTTTTGATATTCTATGTCTATTCCCTCCAAAAGTTTGAAGTGCTGAATAACGTCTGCTCTATCACGTCAATATTCCAAGGTTGGTAATCTTAGTTTATAATAATGATTGTTTCTATCTGTTTCAGTGCTGTTAAAAGGTCAAGTGACCACGAAGTACTACCGGTTTCTGACTAAAGATGGCGGGTGGATTTGGATGCAGAGTCACGCGACAATCGTCCATAACAGTCGGTCCTCCCGCCCGCACTGTATCGTCAGTGTTAATTACGTCCTTAGGTATGTTACTGGTGTAATCTGGAGGTAAAGAGTATAAGTCCTCTGTTAGGGATGCTGATTGGTTGATATCCATGTGCTAAAAAGCTGTACGATTGCTCTGATGTACGTCAATATCAGTATACAGATACTCATGTCATTCAAATATATAAAGCAACACTTTTCTATATTCTATGATCAATGATGCTTTCAATTTCATATTCAAAACTTAACTTTAGAGACAAGTCCTATACTGAAAACAGAAGCTAGATTAGTTGACATCTGAAATTGTTTGTTATAGCGATTTGGAAGCAAGGGGACTTCAGATACAACTGGAACAGACCATCACGAAAGAGCCGTCTCCTTTCTCCAATATATCAAACAGGTCGACGAGTAAGCTTCGCTCATCCAAACCAAAATCTAGACGATCGCCGTACCCTCATATCGCGGAGAACCCAGAGTACAATCATGGCGATATGGCGGTCGATAGGTCACCACTGGACTTCATGTCCGATCCCGCCACTCAGGAACTTCTCTGTGCTAACAGCGCGCCCCAGGCCGTTCTAGAATGTGGGGAAAAGTTACCAAACATGTACTCACCTCAGTACACACAAGGACTAATTTCTGATCTCTACCAGTTCCAGGCGCAGCAGAGGTACATAGATGAGAGACTCCAGTACCGTGATAACGAGGAGGAGAAATTCTATCCAATGAGGAACCTGGAGGCATATCCTGGATATATTCCTCCTCACAATGGACATTGTAGCCCTCGACTCACACACATGGACCACCATGAGCGACAGACTATGTCACCTCAGTTTGATTATAGACCGTCCGGGCCGTGTTCTCGAAGTAGTTCTCGAGACACAACATTCGGAACCCCTCAGGGATATGCATGTCCTTTTAGCAATAGGTCTGAATCGTCTGCTTCTGATGTTGATGTTGTAAGTGACGAATACGAAAAGCAGCACCAGCCTCGAACTGACACTCTCCAAGTTAAGTTTGATAATATTTTAGAAACAAATAGCTTGAATATAAAAGAGGAGTCGTACAAGTCACCGTCACGGTTGGGTGAACAGACGAAAATAGTGTCTCCTATACGTGAAAATCTCCAACAGTCTGTAATCATGCTGCGGCCGTCCCGACCGATGTACCCGTCAGACACCGTGTCTATCAGGAGTACGGAGGACTGCTGTCAGTCCGTCATGGAACGTTCTCCAAGCGCTGACAAACTGCCAGGTCAGACAGATTTCACGAAGTGTGCTACTGAGTCTGCACCAGCGGACGACGTATACGTGCCAGACGGCGCCGTGGACAACGACAAAATCATGGATGTTCGAATGATGCACGAGAAAAACTTTTATACGCAATGTCTTCGTGCTGCATGCGCTTATGATAATTACAATCAAAGTAACCTGAACCATACAGCGTCAACCTCCAGTCCAAGGCCGTACACTGTAGGGCCTCAGGCTGGCTACACCAGTGTTATAGTGGACACCCAGCAATATCACCTCGCTAATGGCTACGTACATTGAGGCCCGGGACATGTATACATTCCCTAGCTTATGGCTACGTACACTGAGGCCCGGGACATGTATACATTCCCTAGCTAATGGCTACGTACACTGAGGCCCGGGACATGTATACATTACCTAGCTTATGGCTACGTACACTGAGGCCAGGGATATGTATACATACAAGATAAAGATATTTCTAATCACAACCGGATTCGCAAATATTCAACTAGTCAGAGCAGGTTCACGTTATTTGTGCGGTATTTTCGTAAGTATAGTAACCGGCCTGTCATATCTTATACATGGACAAATAACAATAGTAACTGACCTGCAATCCATTGCTTGTGAGATGACCTTCATATTTCTGATGGCAACTGTCATTATGAACATTCATTGTCTTGATAGACAGAAATCAACTACTGATGGTTCAGCTGTAGAACACTTACCTTTATTCAGCAAGGCGACATGTTAGGGGGCATGTTTCCTGTCAACCTACAATATTTAACTATCGCTGTATATTACTTTTTTTGGTGAATATGTTTTCTTATTCGTGATGAATACAAATATCTCGAGAAAAAATATTCAAGTTGGAAATATTGAATGTTTCTACTAATTAATATAGTACTCAGTTTTTAAGCTTATAATCGATGTTTCCAAATTCTTCATAAAACAGTCCTCAGTTTTATGTAAGCTCATAACAGATGCTTTCAAATTCTTGATTTACATCATTATTACATATTTTTAGATCCTCAATTTATACCAATCTCTATAAACAGTTGAAAAACCGCTGATCAATTGCATTCTAATCCTGTGTTAATGTAAGCTTACGTGATTTTAAATAAACGTACAGGTGATAGGTAGTAGTGTATCACCTGACACGACCTGGTGATAGGTAGTAGTATATCCCCTGACACTACCTGGTGATAGGTAGTAGGTCTCACCTGACACGACCTGGTGATAGGTAGTAGAATATCACCTGACACGACCTGGTGATAGGTAGTAGTGTATCACCTGACACGACCTGGTGATAGGTAGTAGTGTATCCCCTGACACGCCCTGGTGATAGGTAGTAGTATATCCCCTGACACGACCTGGTGATAGGTAGTAGTGTATCTCCTGACACGACCTGGTGATAGGTAGTAGGTATCACCTGACACGACCTGGTAATAGGTAGTAGTATATCACCTGACACTACCTGGTGATAGGTAGTAGTATATCACCTGACACGACCTGGTGATAGGACGTAGGTATCACCTGACACGACCTGGTGATAGGTAGAAGGTATCACCTGACAGGACCTGGTGACAGGTAGTAGGTATCACCTGACACGACCTGGGAATAGGTAGTAGTATATCACCTGACACTTCCTGGTGATAGGTAGTAGTATATCACCTGCCACGACCTGGTGATAGGTAGTAGTATATCACATGACACGACCTGGTGATAGGTAGTAGTATATAACCTGACACGACCTGGGGATAGGTAGTAGGTATCCCCTGACACGACCTGGTAATAGGTAGTAGTATATCCCCTGACACTACCTGGTGAAAGGTAGTAGTATATCCCCTGACACGACCTGGTGATAGGTAGTAGTGTATCACCTGACACGACCTGGTGATAGGAAGTAGTATATCACCTGACACTACCTGGTGAAAGGTAGTAGTATATCCCCTGACACTACCTGGTGATAGGTAGTAGTATATCCCCTGACACGACCTGGTGATAGGTAGTAGTGTATCCCCTGACCCGACCTGGTGATAGGTAGTAGTATATCGCCTGACACGCGCTGGTGATAGGTAGTAGGTATCACCTGACACTACCTGGTGATAGGTAGGAGGTATCACCTGACACGACCTGGTGATAGCTAGTAGGTATCACCTGACACGACCTGGGAATAGGTAGTAGTATATCACCTGACACTACCTGGTGATAGGTAGTAGTATATCACATGACACGACCTGGTGATAGGTAGTAGTGTATCACCTGACACGACCTGGTGATAGGTAGTAGGTATCACCTTAACTGTTGATAGGGGTGTGGATGAGCAGGTTCATGTGTTTTCTTTGTTCATCATGTCTGGGCGTTATCTGGATATCCAAACCACATCTTTGGAATAACCACAAGCATTTCACAATTGAGCTCATGTAAACTGCCAAGTTCTATGTCGGTATCAGTGATATGTGTACTTATACTATACAATCTACATCAGTACGCTGGTCGTGTTATTAAGATTTCAACTGCAGGTTTTTTCAAGTTGATGAATAAGAAAGACGCCAGCTTCAGGGTGAGATGTATCTCCGTTGTTAGACTGTAGTGTATACCCCTTAGTGCTGCCATACACACTTAGTACCTTATATTGGCCATACACACTAAGTACCTTATATTGGCCATACACACTTAGTACCTTATATTGGCCATACACACTTAGTACCTTATATTGGCCAAGCTAATATACGTTACTATAACGTCCTGTTGCATTTGTTGGTAAGTGTTTGCATGATTTGTTATAGGAATTCGTCAATATCACTTATGTGACCATGGCGTGTTAATCAATCAGACTGTTTTATAAGTAATCTGAGTTAATGAATAGGAGTTAAATATTGTCATGTTAGTTAAAAAGAAAACCAAACAGCATCACGTGACGTGTAACTTGATTGTGATTCGTTAGATACGTAGTTCGTGTTCTACATTTATGTTAGGCGTGCTAGAAAAACTTCCAAATGCCTTATTATCAAAATAATCGTGGTATAATTATAAGTGATATATGTTAGGTAATAACTTGAAAAAGATGTGTAATTAATGATTAATCAAGCTTTGATTAAAATAATAACGTTAATTGCATATTTAAGAATTTACTTGGGAATGTCATTGTTCCTTTATTGATATTTTATCAGATTAATTATATCGATTTTAACTGTCACCTAAGATATGACGTAATAACCAGATGTAACTTTTAAGGTAGAACCTCAACCTGTAGAAACCAGACTCACATCCTCTGTGTGTAGAGGAAGTCGTACTTAATCAGAATACTGGCGTTTTTCTCCTCGATATGTATACCTAACAATGTAGTCGGGGCATGTCTACACAGTATGGTAGGTAAACCCGTGTATTTAATTGGTGCTTCATGTGTTCGGTAGAAATAAATGCTCTTTTTCGTGATAGTGGCGATCACGTCATCTCATTAGCAGTTCCCTCATTTTTAATGATGATATGATATACAACATTTAATAAACCCCACATTATCCCTGTGCTTTTAATGTGACCTGTAATGTAAACGTTATACCAATATAGACTGTAAACAGTTTCTAGATGTAAGGAAATGCGATGGCTATTTATTTAATATTCTGTAACAGTGTTAGTATAACATGTCAATTATTTTGTACGTACTCTGTACATGTAATTAAAAAAAATGTTACTTTAAGTATCATTGATGGTGCATGTAGTGACATTGTTTGATTGAGATGTTTGTGTGAGGTCTAGTGACATTGTATGTGTGAGGTCTAGTTACATTGTGTGAGGTCTAGTTACATTGTGTGAGGTCTAGTGACATTTAATGTGTGAGGTCTAGTTACATTGTATGTGTGAGGTCAAGTTACATTGTATGTGTGAGGTCTAGTGACATTGTATGTGTGAGGTCTAGTAACATTGTATGTGTGAGGTCAAGTTACATTGTATGTGTGAGGTCTAGTGACATTGTATGTTTGAGGTCTAGTGACATTGTATGTGTGAGGTCTAGTTACATTGTGTGAGGTCTAGTGACATTTAATGTGTGAGGTCTAGTTACATTGTATGTGTGAGGTCTAGTGACATTGTATGTTTGAGGTCTAGTGACATTGTTTGATTGAGATTTTTGTGTGAGGTCTAGTGACATTGTATGTTTGAGGTATAGTAACCTTGTATAAGGGCTAGTTACATTGTGTGTGGTGTGTGATCTAGTGACATTGTGTGAGGTCTAGTAACATTTTGTGAAGTCAAGTGGCATTGTATGTTTGAGGTCTAGTGACATTGTATGTTTGAGGTTTAGTGACATTGTATGTTTGAGGTCTAGTGACATTGTCTGTTTGAGGTCTAGTGACATTGTATGTTTGAGGTTTAGTGACATTGTATGTTTGAGGTCTAGTGACATTGTCTGTTTGAGGTCTAGTGACATTGTATGTTTGAGGTTTAGTGACATTGTATGTTTGAGGTCTAGTGACATTGTCTGTTTGAGGTCTAGTGACATTGTATGTTTGAGGTTTAGTGACATTGTATGTTTGAGGTCTAGTGACATTGTATGATTGAGGTCTAGTGACATTGTATGTTTGAGGTCTAGTGACATTGTCTGTTTGAGGTCTAGTGACATTGTATGTTTGAGGTATAGTAACCTGGTATAAGGTCTAGTTACATTGTGTGTGGTGTGTGATCTAGTGACATTGTGTGAGGTCTAGTAACATTTTGTGAAGTCAAGTGGCATTGTATGTTTGAGGTCCAGTGACATTGTATGTTTGAGGTATAGTAACCTTGTATAAGGGCTAGTTACATTGTGTGTGGTGTGTGATCTAGTGACATTGTGTGAGGTCTAGTAACATTTTGTGAAGTCAAGTGGCATTGTATGTTTGAGGTCCAGTGACATTGTATGTTTGAGGTATAGTAACCTTGTATAAAGTCTAGTTACATTGTGTGTGGTGTGTGATCTAGTGACATTGTGTGAGGTCTAGTAACATTTTGTGAAGTCAAGTGGCATTGTATGTTTGAGGTCTAGTGACATTGTATGTTTGAGGTCTAGTGACATTGTTTGATTGAGATGTTTGTGTGAGGTCTAGTGACATTGTATGTTTGAGGTATAGTAACATTGTATAAGGTCTAGTTACATTGTGTGTGGTGTGTGATCTAGTGACATTGTGTGAGGTCTAGTTACATTGTGTGAGGTCTAGTGATATTGTGTGAGGTGTGTGATCTAGTTACATTGTATGTTTGAGGTATAATTACATTATGTGAGGTCTAGTTACATTGTGTGTTGTGTGAGGTCTAGTTACATTGTATGTTTGAGGTATAATTACATTGTGTGAGGTCTAGTAACATTGTGTGAAGTCAAGTGGCATTGTATGTTTGAGGTCTAGTGACATTGTTTGATTGAGATGTTTGTGTGAGGTCTAGTGACATTGTAAGTTTGAGGTATAGTAACATTGTATAAGGTCTAGTTACATTGTGTGTGGTGTGATGTCTAGTTACATTGGATGTTTGAGGTATAATTACATTTTATGTGGTGTGAGGTCTAGTTACATTGTGTGTGGTGTGATGTCTAGTTACATTGGATGTTTGAGGTATAATTACATGGTGTGTGGTGTGAGGTCTAGTTACATTGTAGGTTTGAGGTATAATTACATTGTGTGAGGTCTAGTAACATTGTGTGTGGTGTAAGGTCTAGTTACATTGTGTGTGGTGTGACGTCTAGTTACATTGGATGTTTGAGGTATAATTACATTTTATGTGGTGTGAGGTCTAGTTACATTGTGGGTGGAGTGATGTCTAGTTACATTGGATGTTTGAGGTATGATTACATTGTGTGAGGACTAGTTACATTGTGTGTGGTGTGAGGTCTAGTTACATCGGATGTTTGAGGTATAATTACATTGTATGTGGCGAGAGGTCTAATTACAATGTGTGTGGTGTGAGGTCTAGTTACATTGTGTGTGGTGTGAGGTCTAGTTACATTGTAGGTTTGAGGTATAATTACATTGTGTGAGGTCTAGTTACATTGTGTGTGGTGTGTGTTTTAGCTACATTGTATGTTTGAGGTATAGTAACGGTGTGTGAGGTCTAGTTACATTGTGTGTGGTGTGAGGTCTAGTTACATTGGATGTTTGAGGTATAATTACATTGTGTGACGTGTGAGGTCTAGTTACATTGGATGTTTGAGGTATAATTACATGGTGTGTGGTGTGAGGTCTAGTTACATTGTATGTGATGGGAGGTCTAGTTACATTGTGTGTGGTGTGAGGTCAAAGTTGCATTGTGTGTGGTGTGAGGTCTAGTTACATTGTGTGTTGTGTGAGGTCTAGTTACATTGTGTGTGGTGTGAGGACTAGGTACATTGTAGGTTTGAGGTATTATTTCATTGTGTGAGGTCTAGTTACATTGTGTGTGGTGTGTGGTTTAGCTACATTGTAGTTTGAGGTATAATTACATTGTGTGAGGTCTAGTTACATTGTGTGTGGTGTGAGGTCTAGTTACATTGTGTGTGGTGTGAGTTCTAGTTACATTGTGTGTGGTGTGAGGTCTGGTTACATTGTAGGGCTGACGTATAATTACATTGTGTGAGGTCTAGTTACATTGTGTGTGGTGTGAGGTCTAGTTACATTGTGTGTGGTGTGAGTTCTAGTTACATTGTGTGTGGTGTGAGGTCTGGTTACATTGTAGGGCTGACGTATAATTACATTGTGTGAGGTCTAGTTACATTGTGTGTGGTGTGAGGTCTAGTTACATTGTGTGTGGTGTGAGTTCTAGTTACATTGTGTGTGGTGTGAGGTCTGGTTACATTGTAGGGCTGAGGTATAATTACATTGTGTGAGGTCTAGTTACATTGTGTGTGGTGTGAGGTCTAGTTACATTGTGTGTGGTGTGAGTTCTAGTTACATTGTGTGTGGTGTGAGGTCTAGTTACATTGTAGGGCTGAGGTATAATTACATTGTGTGAGGTCTAGTTACATTGTGTGTGTTGTGTGGTTTAGCTACATTGTAGGTTTGAGGTCTAGTTACATTGTGTGAGGTCTAGTTACATTGTGTGAGGTCTAGTTACATTGTGTGTGGTGTGAGGTCTAGTTACATTGTGTGTGTTGTGTGGTTTAGCTACATTGTAGGTTTGAGGTCTAGTTACACTGTGTGAGGTCTAGTTATATTGTATGTTTAAGGTATAGTTACAGTGTGTGAGGTCTACTTACATTGTATGTTTGAGGTATAGTAACAGTGTGTGAGGTCTAGTTAAATTGTATGTTTAAGGTATAGTTACAGTGTGTGAGGTCTAGTTACATTGTATGTTTGAGGTATAGTAGCAGTGTGTGAGGTCTAGTTACATTGTATGACGGATATATTGTTACCTTGTTTGAGTTATGTATGCACAAAATGTTTGTTTGATAAATGGTAGGGTTACAGCCAAGCTGTATTAACGTACCGGAAGTGTCGAGTACTACTCGAAACGATCTGTGAGTGAAATGTGACCGGGTTTATCATTGTTTAGTATATCTTAAAAGTAGCATGAAGGAAAAATTATCTAATGGATTTATTCAGATATATTTTTAAACTTTAAGACGTTGACATATTGTTTTCGTCCTGTGTTTAGCGCAATAGTGAATATAAATGTACTTTCAGCATTTTTATCGAGAAAGCTTAAAGAGAGTTATGGATATTCCTTTACTTATCATCATAAACTCGTGTCGCTGTTCGTTTTGTCATCAATATATAACAAGCTAATGCTATTGAGTAAACCATGATGTCACCAGTTGTAGCTATTGTTATACATGACGTCAGTAGCTGTAGCTTTTGTTATACATGACATCAGCAGCATAGATATTGCTATAAATGACGTCATTAGCTGTTATACATGACGTCAGCAGCGCAGCTATAATATCATGGCAGCAGCTGTAGTGTTTTTGCTACATATGACGTCAACTTTTGTTACCTCTGACGTCAATTGTAGCTATTTCGATACATATGACGTCATCTTAAGTTTGTTTGTTACATCTTACATCAACTTTAGCTATTTTGTTACATCTGACGTAAACGTAAGGTATTTCGTTACAACTGACGTAAACGTAAGGTATTTTGTTACAACTGACGTAAACGTAAGGTATTGTGTTACAACTGACGTCAACTGTAGCTGTTTTGCTACCTATGACGTCAACTGCAGCTGTTTTGTAACATATAACGTCGGATGTATCTTTTTGATCGATCTTTATCTGATAACATCTTCGTATTTTATATAGGGAATACGGAACAACTTAATAAAATATGGGGAAATAAAGAAAGTTCGCAAGTAGAATTGACCAGATGTTAGTTGTAAAACTGGGTGAAGGTACGTGTTTAGGTGTGTGCGTCTCTGTATGTTTTGACCAGTGTCGTGTGAGTTATGGTTTATATGTTGTGGTCAGTTCCCGTTTTATGTGAGACGTGTATATAAGTTGTAATCAGGGAGATCAGGTATGGACCTCCCTAAACAGAACATACAATCAAATGTGCTCATGTTGTATCATACATTAAATAAGTATTGAGAATCAACCCAGGTGTTTGTCTCTATTTGTCGCTGAAAACTACTTGAAGTATACAACAACGATTCACAAAACAAGAGGCCAAAAGTGCCTATATTTCTCACCTGGATAATAGAGCAACCATGAAAAATTACATATAATACTGCAAATATTTCCAAATTGGCTTTGTCTCACAGCAACATCCAGACTCTCAGTTAAAACCAATTGAGCCCCACCCAAATGATGTTCTGGACTAAATTTGGTTAAAATAACTACAATCATGCATAAGAAGAAGGATTTTAAACATTGACCTCAAATGACCCTAAGGGGTCCGTTTATACAAAATTGGATCCCTTTTGTCCAGGGATGCTCTACACAAATATTATTTACAATTCCACAAATCATACTTAAGGAGAAGGATTTTTAATCTTTTATTACAACGTCCCCCCTTTTGGGACTAGCCCTTCTGCTCCACGTCAAAGGTAGTAAAAAGTATCAAGCTGTTGACGGACAGACGTTGCAGTATGGCATATTTAGCTAAAAAATCACGCTAATTGAAGTGCAAGGCAATCAACTACATAGCAACAGTGCCTAACGAAGGTATTTAACATGATACAAAGAGTTTTACGTACCTTGAACTCTGTTTCTACATTTGTTTTCCAACTTTAAGGCCCTGGCATCGCTGATAAGTCCTTCAAAACGAAACGGTTGTAAAATGAAGTTTAATTAAGTTTTTTACATTCTGTATCAATAACAATATGTTAATGTTCATCGCAAGTGTGTGGGGTACGTTCATCTTTTGCAATATAGTACAGTAATATACACTGACGTCATTGACTAGTGTCTTTGATACAGTAGCCCATTCCATTGGGACAAAAGTGCCCTACAAACCAATGTGACAGAAGTGCCCTACAAACCAATGTGACAGACGTGCCCTACAAAACAAGGTGACAAAAGCAACCTACAAACCAATGTGACAAAAGTGCCCTACAAACCAATGTGACAAAAGTGCCCTACAAACCAATGTGACAGAAGTGCCCTACAAACCAATGTCACAAAAGTACCCTACAAACCAATGTCACAGAAGTACCCTACAAACCAATGTGACAGAAGTGCCCTACAAACCAATGTGACAAAAGTGCCATACAAACCAATGTGACAAAAGTGCACTACAAACCAATGTGACAGAAGTGCCCTACAAACCAAAGTTACAAAAGTGCCCTACAAACCAATGTGACAAAAGTGCCCAACAAACCAATGTGACAGAAGTGCCCTACAAACCAAAGTTACAAAAGTGCCCTACAAACCAATGTGACAGAAGTGCCTTACAAACCAATGTCACAAAAGTACCCTACAAACCAATGTGACAGAAGAAACCTACAAACCAATGTGACAAAAGTGCCCAACAAACCAATGTGACAGAAGGGCCCTACAAACCAATGTCACAAAAGTACCCTACAAACTAATGTGACAATAGTACCCTACAAACCAATGTGACAAGAGTACCCTACAAACCAATGTGACAAAAGTCCCCTACAAACCAATGGGACAAAAGTACCCTACAAACCAATGTGACAAGAAGTACCCTACAAACCAATGTCACAAAAGTACCCTACAAACTAATGTTACAATAGTACCCTACAAACCAATGTGACAAGAGTACCCTACGAACCAATGTGACAAAAGTACCCTACAAACGAATGTGACAATAGTACCCTACAAACCAATGTGACAAGAGTACCCTACAAACCAATGTGACAAAAGTCCCCTACAAACCAATGTGACAGAAGTACCCTATAAACAAAGGTGACAAAAGCAACCTACAAACCAATGTGACAAAAGGGCCCTACAAACCAATGTGACAGAAGTACCCTATAAACAAAGGTGACAAAAGCAACCTACAAACCAATGTGACAGAAGTGCCCTCCAACCCAATGTGACAGACGTGCCCTACAAAACAAGGTGACAAAACCAACCTACAAACCAATGTGACAAAAGTGCTCTACAAACCAATGTGACAAAAGTGCCCTACAAACCAATGTGACAGAAGTGCCTTACAAACCAATGTCACAAAAGTACCCTACAAACCAATGTCACAAGAGTATCCCACAAACAAATGTGACAAAAGTACACTACAAACCAATGTGAGAAAAGTACCCTACAAACCAATGTGGCAAAAGTACCCTACAAACCAATGTCACAAAAGTACCCTACAAACTAATGTGACAATAGTACCCTGCAAACCAATGTGACAAAAGTACCCTACAATCCAATGTGACAAAAGTACCCTACAAACCAGTGTGACAAAAGTACCCTACAAACCAATGTGGCAAAAGTACCCTACAAACCAATGTCACAAAAGTACCCTACAAACCAATGTCACAAAAGTACCCTACAAACTAATGTGACAATAGTACCCTACAAACCAATGTGACAAAAGTACCCTACAAACCAATGTCACAAAAGTATCCCACAAACAAATGTGACAAAAGTACCCTACAAACCAATGTGACAAAAGTACCCTACAAACCAATGTGACAAAAGTACCCTACAAACCAATGTGACAAAAGTACCCTACAAACCAATGTGACAAAAGTACCCTACAAACCAATGTGACAAAAGTACCCTACAAACCAATGTGACAAAAGTACCCTACAAACCAATGTGACAAAAGTACCCTACAAACCAATGTGACAAAAGTACCCTACAAACCAATGTGACAAAAGTACCCTACAAACCAATGTGACAAAAGTACCCTACAAACCAATGTCACAAAAGTACCCTATAAACCAATGTGACAGAAGTACCCTACAAACCAATGTCACAAAAGTACCCTACAAACCAATGTGACAGAAGTAACCTACAAACCAAAGTGACAGAAGTACCCTACAAACCAATGTCACAAAAGTACCCTACAAACCAATGTGACAGAAGAAACCTACAAACCAATGTGACAAAAGTACCCTACAAACCAATGTCACAGAAGTAACCTACAAACCAATGTGACAAAAGTACCCTACAAACCAATGTCACAAAAGTACCCTACAAACCAATCTCACAAAAGTACCCTACAAACCATTGTGACAAATGTACCCTACAAACCAATGTGACTTCCCCTACAAACCAATGTGACAGAAGTCCCCTACAAACCAATGTGACAAAAGTACCCTACAAACCAATGTGACTTACCCTACAAACCAATGTGACAGAAGTGTATGCGATCGACGTGGTCAAATTGTTCCTTTTTATTTGAAGATATTACATCAGCAATATACCTGCCGGTAAAATTGAAGGACTTAGCTGGTTAAGTTAGATGTCCCTATTAGTTCTTCAATAAATAAAGCGCATATGATAAAAAGAATCAACAGAAGGGCACCGTTTGCTCCCATAAGAATGCCTACAGTCCGCTGGATCTCTGGAATCATATTGTCAACCAGGAACTCTATCATTCACACAATTACATGCTCAGCATATGCCGTTTTTGGGGGGTTTTGTTTGCTAAAAATGCTCTAAACATTTTACAACCATACATCTATATCGTTGTTGGTTTTATTGAAAAAAAGTGCTCATGAAAACAGAAGTAAGGAGTTCGTTCTTTTTTGTACATTTGTATGAGGCATTGTAGTGTAAAGTGTGGGAAGGTTAGATGCTCTAAAAGAAATTAATGTTTTAGGAGAGGATCTGAAGATTGAACGAAAGATCTTTTGAATTTTTCAAAATACACATGTATTCATGATCCACTAGGTCCGTATCCTTATCAATAATTGATATTCTGAAAAATGTTCAGGTAAGAATCTTTGTTATCGAGCAAACGTAGGTCTATTTGTAAGCAAGATTGCGTGGTTGTTTACAGACAAGGATCATGCTATTAGATGCTTTATTTGCAGACACAACTTCATGTTTCCCATTCAGATCGTTGAGAGAGGTTTGAACAAGTTATTTTGGATCACATTTTGTGAAAAGCACAACAAAGGCCAACATGCAATACACTTAGGACGAAATTGTGAGAATAACTGAGTTCCTGGTTGATAATAGCTTTGTTTAATTAGGTGGCAGGATTTCCCAGCAGAATGTAGCCATTCCTATTGGAACAAACTGTGCCCTCGTTTGGCCGATTTTTGTGTAATAAGTCCTTCAATTTCACATTCAGATATTTCGACGATGTGTTGTCTTTTAATGACAAGACATGTATTAACCACGTCGACTTTAACCGTTTTCGTCTATCTTTACTCACAACATGACCAACAGGGACGTCCTACTACTAAGCTGTACGATAAGCGGGACGATTGTGATCGTGGGCTTGCTCCGAATATCATGACTCCTGCGATAGATGTAGACTGCTGACAGACAAATTAACAACAAAGGATTCCCAAAAATACGGGTTGGTGAAGACGATGGACAATTCGGTCGCCATGATGATATCATAGCGATATGAAGGTCGCTGTTTTTTATAATGTTGAGTAGTGTGCCTCGTGGTATTGTCGTCACTACACTACCCTAGCTGGTTCGGGGGTAGGACGTTACATAGCGGCTATCGTCGTCGATGAAGCATAACACGCTTACTCTTTCGAAACCCATGGTCTTATCCTTTTGTACCTTTGTACCCTTTGTACCCTTTGTACCTTTGTACCCTTTGTACCTTTTGTACCCTTTGTACCTTTTTCAAGGAACTCCCAGTAAAATATTCCTTTGTTTACATTTTACCCTTGTAAAAAGTGTGGCTTTGTCGACATTTTGAATTCTCTAGCTGTTTTACCAATAGGTCTTTAAATGCAAAAATGTATTCTGTAAGACAGTTGCTTTGCCAGTGTCGTAGTCGTTATCAACAACTTTAAACGCTTGTGTACACATATTTAATTAATAGCAATATAAATGCGAGTAGTAGTATGTTGAAAATAGTCCATCAAATCCGCCCTGCTAGGGGGAGACAAAACAAGCTTATTTCTTTGGAATGTCGTGGCAGGGTTTACACAGTACCGTTGTCGTTATGAAATTGTGACAATTATACATGTTTCTGTTTCTCACTATGTA